TGTTTATATCTATTCGTTAAATGGATAATGTACTTGCAATGCTAAATTGAGAGAAAGTATTATGAGTCGATTAAAGCTAGACCACCATGGTAAATCTGGAAGCACTGGACAGCCATTTCGTTCCAGTATGGTGCTCCTCAGCAGTGCGCATCCACTATCCCATCCACGAGACACGAACCAAGGGCTTTCGATCTTAAGCTTAACCTTTAGATCACTGAGGCAGTATTCTACGGCGTTAATGTCCAACTTCAACCAATCCACGAAATTGCGCCACCGTCCACTATTGTGTTCAGTGAGCTGCTGACCCATAACAGACACGGCTGAACTTCACTGGTCACGGCTTCTCACTAGAACTTCATAAAATTCTCTTTCTGAAAAAAACATTAGTCTAGGAAATTAGAAGTAAAATGCTGAATAGCATAAAAATATTGGTCTGAAAAAACCTCTACATAAGCCTATACTTAGTTATAATACAGATGAATGATTTGCAGTAGAGATGGGTGGTGGTTAGTACTAAAATTCAAGACTCGCTTTTCGTCCAATTTGAAACTCATCAGCTGGATGTACCTGTATCCTTGCACCAAATGCAGTCCTAAACATCAATGGTAAGATCCGAACAACCAATTTGCATGAAGTGTAAACGAACAAACCATTTCCTATGAACAGTCGGATCCGAGTTTCTCTCGAAAAACTAAATAAATCCGAAAGTTCTAGGTTTAAATAGAATAGAAATGCAATAATGTTTGAAAAAAATTATACTCAGTATGTCTTACTATATTTCGTATACAACGTTTGTTAGAAAATTCTTCAACCTAGCGAAAATCCATGTAAATAATTAAGTTATTATTACCTACATTAATTATGCGTATACAAATGAAAGAAAGCCAGTTGCTTACAAAAGAAACATAGAAATTCCCAGTTACCAACAGTGAACTAGTCTAGAAAGTCGTAAATTTACGACCAAAAATTACGTTATTAGAAATAAATAATATTATGAAAACTATCTATCCTAAAAGATTACATTACAAAGGGTTAAACTACATTAACTATCGCAAATATACTAACAGTTCACAATTTTCTATAAATAATGCTGAGTCATTGTTATAGTGAACTGGAAAACGATAAATCAAGGTGAAAATGGTTTCATAAACAGAGGGTAGAATATAAACAACATTAACCTATACAGTCACCTTATGCTCATAGTGTCAGAATATCAGTTCAAATAAATTCATATGCATAACCTGACAACACGCCAGTTTCTCATCTCCACCCTTTAACAATTTCTTTAGGTTGTCTGAAATTCAGAGTAGATGAAAAAATGCTTTTAGTATCATTGAGCCAATAATGTCCAAATGACTAACAAGTCCAATTATGAGTACAAGTAGAATGAAAGGAACTGGTATCAAGCATATAGCACGAAAAAATAATTGATATCCCACTATAAGAATAACATATCTTAAGATGATTCATAAAAAGATAGTTCTGTGTAATTTATCACAAATAAACCTTTCACAACATACTAAAAGCATGAATGCGACGATTTATAACTGTAGTAAATTGTTACTGAACTACTTATCAATTGTGAAGTAGTATAATATTTTCAACAAAATATATCTGAATTGACCTGATATTTTTTTATACGAATCTTCCCATTGATGTTTAAGATCAGTCTCTTATTGGCATAGTAAAACTTTTGAGGATTAACTCGATAGTGCCTAAAGTCACAATCTTTATAAGAAAAGATGGATAGCGGCTAGTAGTGGAATTCAGGACGCGCGTTTCCTCTTATTTGGGACTCGTTAGGTGGATCTTTATGCATAGCAGAGTTGATGTTCACTGAGTGACTGGAACCCACTACAGTTCTCTTTAAACTCCATGGCGTTGTTCATTTAGCTACTGAGTCCTGACAGCCACTTGTTTGTGCAACGGGGTGAACTTTAATACGCACAGTATCCACATATGCCAACAAGTGACTGATCAATCGCAGTCCAAGGCACCAATTGGGAAATTCGACCAAACTACACCAAAAGAATTTAAACTTCACCCCATTGCACAAACAAGTGGCTATCAGGACTCAGTAGCTAAGTGGACAACGCAATGGAGTTTAAAGCAAACGGTAATGGGTTCCAGTTATGCAGAAAATATCATCTCTGGGATGCAGATACATCCAGATAACGAGTCCCAAAAAGAACGAAACGCGCGTCCTGAATTCCACTGCCAGTCACTTTCTATCTATGCTTTTAATATGTCTGAGTTTTAACTCATTACTATTCGAAAACTTAAATCCCATCTTTAAATAGGTTAACTGGTCCCAGATAATAAAACTTATGTTGAAATCAATATTAGACATATAGTCTGCATATTTTCCAATGTATGATTAATATTTTTCATCCTAGATACTTGATTTATCTTCTAAGACAGTTCACATAGAAAATACTGTTTCTAGCTTCTTCTAAAAGTACCTAGTAATATGACAATAACTTTTCGTAAACGATTAGACCATTTTATAAATTTTGATAGAACAATGAGAAGTTAATTTGGTCACGTATATACTTATCAACGCATCTCTATGCATGAATAACTGATAAACCTCCATCAAATAAAAGTTCAAATAAACATGAAGTAAAAATCGGAAATAAGAAGAAAAACTAATGTATACTTCTCTCTATATTATATAAAGTTTGTTTATTCTTTCTATTTTGTGTAATTATCACTTTATATTCATCTGAACAGATCCAGATGTAATATCAAGACTTTATTCCTTTTTGAAAGGTAGGGATGAAGCGAAAGAACACAGAAAATTTACTACTCTCTGGTGCTACATTAAAAGTCTTTAGAATAAAGATTGTATCTCAGTTCATTAGTGAAGTTACATGAATTTTCAAAATATGAACACTGTCATAACTAAACTTTTTAAAAGAATCCCCCTTCATACTGTTATTTTATACTTTTAATCTACAAAATAAATATATTACTAGTCTCTTACGTTATTCATGTTTGATCAAAAATTTTGTTTATCAGCCATTCACTTCATTATTGTAAAACTGTCTACAAAACAGTAGATTAAGTTTAAAAAAAAACTATTAATCAGGATTCATTCACTCTGCATTTGTATCCTTCTTTCTAGTTGTAAACGGACTAAAATCTCCCATTACTACGATATTTGTTTTACCTCTTTTCAAAAACGATATTTCAGTCTACCCACTAAAAAATTTATGGGTCCTAAATACTGGGTCTAGTAGCTAGATAGAATCCATAGCGTATTTGACTATTCATTCTGAATCGTATCTAGTGCTTCTGATTAATAACAATTTATTGACAAATGTTCGATTAAAGCAATTTATTATTTACGTCATTTCAAACAACATACACATATTTCCTCAATGTTACCTTTCCTTTTGTATCAACCTAATCGTTATAAATTTTAATATTAAGCAGTATACTATAGAGTTAAACAACTACACTTTCATAGAATTATTCGTTACCCAAGTTTGTAATTAAAAATTTGGAACAAGTAGAACACGAAGACTATCGTATATGGATATACTTGAATATTGTAAAAGTTTAGACAACGAAGTGGCCAACCTAAAATATCCTAGATCCATTCAAACGAATTTTCTGACAAATTATTGCACAACTTTTAAATTACTCGATCAACTACAGCTACTAGAAATAAATACTTCATTTCATTCGCATGAACGCAATACACTTTCTCTAGAAATCCTAAACTAGTCAAGAAGCGTCATCCTTATAAGGAAAGCAGTAAACTAGCTTTTACTGATGCAAGATGTATTTGTTTGATTGATTAAAATCTGAGACATAATATGAGAAATCCGAATCTTTCTACACTTAATACAAAGTAACTGAATTTCGCTTAGTTAATACCACGTTAGGCTCAAAATATTTTATTAAGAAAATCTTATTCGACTATGATAAAGTGAAGTGAGATTTCAATGCCCATACTGAAGGCAACAATTTTTAACATTTACTATTTATGCGACTTGAAGCTTACGATTATACGTCGAGAAAACTGTATGATTTTGTACTTTTTTTTACAACACCTTAACTAAACAAGAATACTAGATTATGTTGTGTAGTTGATTGTTATTGAGTAACAAGGCATTTTATTCTCACAACAACTTTACTTCACAAGCATATATTTTAAGCGTATTTAGTGGCTAATCTTGCAAATTATAAAATTTGTATCACAGTTTCCAATCCTATAAATCCATATCGCCATTCATTTTTCAGTTAAGCAAGTACAGATAACGGTTATGTTGATATTTTAAGTTATAACATTAAAAATGAGTTACTCTATCCTCAAAATAAATCGAACATGTAAGTCTTTTCAGCTCATTAACGCAAATAATGAAGGTAAGCTTATACATAACTGCAATGAGAATGTTACATATTTCAAACAGTTATCCATTTTTACCATCAATATTTTAAGGATTGAGTTATTTTTAATGGCAATGGATGATAATCGCGCAATATAGAGATATAACTGAAGTTGGTATATGGGCCACTGAATGTTAACTCAATAGGAAGCCTGATGGAGATAATCGCTACATGATGAAAAATTATGAATAAAGGTTAACTTAATAATATAAATGATTAATTTGTAGTCTCAATGACTAGAAAATTAAATTTCTAACGTTACGTGGCTTAGAGTAAGCCATTTCTTCAGGAAACAAAAATGAATCCTCTGAAGAAGTGGCTTACTCTGAGTCAAAAAACGTCAGAAATTTATTTTCTTTATTCATTGAGACTTTACTAATATATTATCTCCATTATTAACAATCTATTCAATGCTTAATTCACTCGAAATTATCAAGTCAAACCTTGTTAATGATACTTACACAGGTTGACTTGTGTCCATGTCTCTGTTTGATGTAGATGAGAAATGGTGGTGTTAATGAACTATAGCTTCTTAGTTGACTTTTTATATATTCTCTCAACTTGACATGTTTAGAACAACGGCATATCAAAAAGTAGAATATCAAATGTATTTAGAATACGTATATTTTGTACATAATGTTAAACAGGCGACAAGCAAAACATTGTGGAGCAATTGTATTAAGTATCGGAGCTCCGTAATATGACTTAGAATAATGTGATTCCGTTTTTATGCTATTTAAAATTACTGATGGATAGACGCAAACGTGCTATCATACATGCACGTATAAAACACAGTCAGGGCTACATGTAATTGACAAAAACATAATATGAATGACAGAATAATTGGAAAGATTAGAATAATGCATCCATTCAAAAGTTATAATAAATCACGTGTGTAACAATAGTAATGGCTACAGACTGGTTTCGATATACTTATCCAGCTCATCCAAGCTTGAAATCATGCAATATATAACGACCCTTAAACTAACAACACAAGCATTGAAATGCAGCTTCCTGTTTTGATTTGTTTTTAATTAAGTGTTTATGTTTGTACATCGGATAGTGTACTCATCGACTTATGTAAAAAGTTGATATTTTGCAATGCTTAATAGTAAAAACATTCAGGAGGAAAGACAAACGAGTTTGATACATATATTCACTCTTCGCTATTGTTTGGCGAAAAAGGCTTTTGAGATTCATTCATCAGAAATATCATTTGAAACAAAATGCTGTACTTGCGGAATTGGTGTAAAAAGCTAACTGATGAAGATGAATGACGAGTAACCATTGTTAAAAATAGTTTACTTATACATACCTTTACATAAAGACAAGTTAAATGTAAATTTTGAAAATCGCACATGTTCTGCTGAGAATTTCTTACTACAGTCATTAAATATACGTTACTGCATAAGGTGAATATTATTATTACCATTATTATTGTCATTAAATACACATCATTAAGTGATAACAAGTCAGTCAGTCAGCTACAACGTAAGACCAGGCACATGTTTGTCGTTTTTCTTCTTATCTGTCAATGGGACAATTATCTGACCTATAAATTATTTTCATCCTTATATTCCTTCCTTACCCCTTGATTATTGTGTAACCTCATTTGATAATAACAGTCTCGAATCAATTTATGATGCAATCTTTTCTATCCTTCTATAGACATATAAATATAAATACGAATGAACAGCTTAAGTAAATGATTTCGTCGAAAAGAAAATTTTCTTCGCTGAATTCTATTTTTCTTATTCACTGACACAATAGATTATTTTAATTGTGAATTTGTAATTTTCATCCGATTCCAAACAACAAATACATAAAATGCAAATTTATAGAACTCCAGAAGTACGCAATGATCAGTTCTTGGAAATAAAAAGCTTCCTTTTTTTTTAACAATCTTTGCGCTTAACCGAAGATCATTAAAGAATACACCTCAGTGATATTCACAATACTTTCTTCCTTTAAATTGACCATTGATGGAACAGTCCAAGACATTTACTGTATAATAATTCGATATTCTTTGTATAATCATATTTTGATCCAGTTAAGAATGTACAATCGACCAATAGTTACTTTAACTGGTTTAACCATAGTTGAGACAATAATCTACAATTCTTTTATACGATAATAAAGACCCAAACAATTCTTTGAATAGAAGTATGGATGTTTGTAGACTTAAACAATGCATTGTGTTTATAATTTGTTTAAGTTAAAATTTAATTAGTTCAAATGATAACACAATATTATTCACGCAACACTTGTGTATATCTTAGATTCAATTTTACAATGCTATAAAAGTTACGCACATAAGCAACTAAGTAAACTGAAAATATTATAATCTATACCTCCAATAAAATAAGTCATAACATATAATATGTAATATAAAGCGTTATCATTATGGTATCTCTTAGTTTATATAATTTTTTTAAGTGAATGAAAAAGTAGAAATAACAGTTAACTTTAATGAGATACATAGAACAGCGAAAAAAATAATTTATTTGCAATAAAATCTCTATATTCTTTATTCTTATAGTATGTATTTAATCTGAAAATGAGAAAAAAACGAATGTCAGGATCTAAGTAATATGAAAACTGATACCTCGAAATGTTTATCGGTTTTCTTCCAATAAACGAAACGAAGTTCAGACCAGAAAATGCATATATATATATATCATGAGTGTTCCTTGAACAACGTCAAGATGAGGGAAAATGACAGTCAATGAGATGAATAATCACTGGAGAAAATGAACTGACAGAGAAGACCAAATCAGTGTTAAAACATTATCGATCATCTCCGTTGCATTTGTTTCTTATGTATAAATATAAGTGTAAATAGACCTCAAGAAATGTTGAGAAGGAATTCAACACATACACACACAGACGTTTTCTTTCTTCTGACAAGACGAACAAACGAATGTTTTGGTTTGATCAGTGAATTAGTTATTTAAATCAAGGTATATATGTATGTGCAGGAGTTGATGAATGTGCAGCAAAATGTATACTTGATACAGGTGAATTCAACTGAAATTAAGAATAATCACAGCATTACCATCTATAAGTACTTTTTTAAATAAAATCAGTGAGACTATAAATTATGGACGACCTTTGAGCAACGCTAGACTGACCTGGAGTGTCCACATGATGACTAGGACCAAATGTGGATTATAAACCTATATGAGGAATTACAATTATGATTTACAATTGATGGTTAAGGTTAAGAATTAGATTTAGGGTTTTTATGACGAACTGATATCAGCTATAATGCCAAAACTCTTTTTAGCCAAATGGACGAGTAAATTTCGCGTCAAAATTCAAGATCTGTTAACTTATACCTGATTAGTTCGTCCACAGATTATAGTCTCACCATGAAATCATACTATAAAAAGAGAAAGAATTATAAATAATATAGCCAAGCTGCTAAGTAGATTGTTATAAGAACATTTTAACTATTACTAATAGTATTATAACTGTATTTTAGGCTGACTTATGCAATTACTGCTTACATCACTGACTGATCTTAATTAGGTAAATTGGAAACACAAAGGTACTGAACAACTTTTTTAGTCTCACAAGGGACAACCCAACAGCGCACATTCACAACCACAAAAGCGATGGAAGCCAATACCTTCAGGTGACACAGAGAGCTTGCTAAGTTTAAGTGCACAATCTTGATTTAAAGTATAACTCATTTGAAATGCGTCTATCTACAACTACTTCCCGCTATGATAAGTTAAAATCTTCAGCAATATGGTACAGTTTGAGTCATACATAGTTATTACTTTAGTCAGTCAGCCACAAGGTAGAACCTGCACGAATGTACATCAGTTCGTTACCATACACCATTAACAGACCGAAATGAGATTGTGAAGTCAGATCCCAGTATAGTAGATTAGTAATTTTATCAGTGATAATAGGAAAAATTATGCATCGAAGATGCGATTGTAGAAGACAATATAAATTAGTGAGATAAAAACAAAAAAAAGTTATGGGGATTTTAGAAGCTCAAAATTTGGAGAAAACAAGGAATGAATGCACATGCGCCATTGCAAACGATTTCGAGCCATGTTATTCAAAGTCTCTAACCATCGGTTACGAAAATCATGCGGACTCCAACTAGGTAGTCTTTACCTATTGACACGGCCAAGTCCAGTTGTCAGTGACTTTATGGGCTGATACCATGTTTTGATTTGGCCACCCATAGATTTCTTCAAGCCTGCTTCCGTACCAGAAAACATTGCGCGTCGAGGTAAGATATGGCTGGACATATGTAAAACATGTCCCAACCACCTTAGTTGATGAAAATTTGCTACATTATCAATCGACTTCCCATCCTTACCTAATACGTTATTTCTGACCCAGGGGTTGCTTACTCCATGGTCCAAAAATACGCGACCAATGCCTCATAGACACCGAAGATCGAATACCAGTAATCTACGAATATCCTCCACTCTTAATGGCCATGTTTCAAATCGATAAAGTAGAACGGAGAGAACTGCTACGCAGTAAATTCACCCTTTGTTTAAGAGCCTTCTGAATCCATGCCGAGGTTTCGTCAGACACTAGACCATCACTACTGATCAGACTCACAAGATAAGTGAAGCGGTCGATACATTTAACTACTTCACTTCCTATCATTAATTCATCGATGACGCAAGCCATCCCTGAAGCAACGTTTCGCATTCAGAGAGAGAGAACCGCATCCCAAACATGCTCAGGTTGGTCAGAAGACTCCATTGTGTCTGAGTCGTTACCAAACAGAACTATATCATCTGAGTATTCTGAGTTAACAAGTGAATCTCCTGGTAGAAGATCAACCCTTGGAAAGACGGACGATAAAAATATTATCTTCGAAAGCATGTTTATGACAAAGTTAAATAAAAATTGAGAAAGAGGAAAACCTTGACGAACACCGCTTGAAGTAACCAATTCCGATGTCAGTTCGCCATATGTTCTGACAGACGCTGCTATAGAACTCCACGGTCAAGGGAGTCCAACGCTTTCTAAAGGTCGAGGAACACAACTACAGTAGGACGTCGAAAAATATGTCAATGTTCCAGAATCTGTTAAGGAGTGAATATTTGGTCTATGCATCCACGTTCAGATCTGAAACCAGGCTAGATTTCTCGGATTCGCTCTTCAAGAGCTCTAGTTAAACATCGGAGTATTATTGAGGCTAATATTTTAGACACTATATTAGTCAAACTGATTACTCTGTGATTTTTGTCCTTTTTCAAAAATTGGAACCATTAGCGATCGAGATCAGTCAGATAAGATTACATCCAGTCCCCAGATTTCACCTAAAATTTCAATTATTCTAAGTGCTAAAACTTGACTACCATTCTTAAAAATCTCAAGGTTTGACTCGCCAAGCCCTGCTGCTCTTCCTCGCTGTAAATTGCTTATAGCCTTTTCAAACTCTAAGTGTTAGATGACTTGTATCAGTTAGCTTGGAAATAGTGGGTAGCTGAAGTTTGGATGAAAGCTAGTTGAACTGTTCACTAAGTTGTTCTGCGCATTTGTCAAATCCCTGGACAACAGTCCAGTCGTTTTCTGAGATAGTCTCACTGACAGCCGGATTTTTAATATCCGTTTCCTTGATAAATTTAAACAGTTATCTACTTTTAACTAACACCACTGCCTTTTCCATCTCTTCCGATTTCTCTACCCACAACTGTTCAGGATCATTGTGTAGGCTTTTGACCAACCTATGTTTAGGCTGACTACGTTCCACATCGTGTTCTGAGCCAGACGGACTAAGTTCCAAAGCATCTATCAGTTCTGTAGGCGCTGCTGAAATCGACTGATCTTTCCTAACCTTTTGGTTTAAGCTACTAGATATCACTGCTGTTTCCATAACTCTTTGGATATCATCCTAAGCTTCTTCGGGGTGGATATCATTTTCGCGATTGACTAGCTCCTTCTCTAGTTGTCCCTGAAATATGTTCCTAACTTTATCATTATTAAGTTGGACTCTAAGAGGTTTTCTTACAATGCCTCTTCTACAACCGGTAAGACGCAGACAAATACGTGCTCGAACTAGCGCATGATCCGAGTCAAAATATGTGATCCAAAATAAGCAAGAGTCTACGATCCAGTCCCTCCAATGATGAATATGTGCAATGTGACCCATTACATTGTGGAAGTCGCTACGTCAGATGATGTTTATCATTATTTTTGCCAGAAATAGGTGGTTATCCGAGCATAGTTTCAACAGACGGTCGCTATTATCTGTTCGCTGAGCCGCAACACCATAAGACCCACCTGTGTCTTTAGGTTTGGTTTAATTTACCCAATTGAGGATTAAAATCACCTCCAATTATTACATCAGAGAGTTTAACTTTTTAAAACAAGGTTCGAACATTACAAGCTCCAACATGCAGTTCAGAGCGTGGTTTTAGGAGACCAGGAATAACATTTCGTGAACTCAAATCATTAGCATCGGTGGTGCGTGGTGATAAAAATAAATGAGAAGGGTTAGTCATGAAGATGGAAGAATTATTAAGAGGTGAGAGAGGAATCCGATCATCAACAAAATGATCAAGGGTGCTGATAGAGGTATGAGGGCGGATATCACTTCCAAGCTGTCCAGACCATGGAAGGATACTTCTTCTCGAGAGACCTGAAAAAGAAGACGAATTAATGGTGGTCTTAGAGACCTGGAAGCGTGACCGCAAATCCCAAGGGATAACTGCTTGAGGTCAGTCGCGCACGACCTTCTTGTGGGAAGTTTTTGATGAATTAGCTCCGCACATGTCCTACCACCACGTTAAGGTAGCAGCTAGGGTGGGCAATTATTTATAGTAAAAATCTAAATCATCATCTGGTAGCTGTTTTTATGTATGTAGTGCTTATTTCTTTGCTCCCCTAGTAATCGCTGCTTGTAATTTTCTACTCAAATTGTAATTAAAATGTATGAGAATGTAAGCTAATGATAACATTTCACTATATTTGGAAGTTATGAATTAGTCTATCCAAGTTTACTGTTAAAGATGTAAAATAGATTAACGTGGCTTACTTTGATGACTTAACCCCGGGTAGTTAACGAAGTACATTTCTTAATGATGATCTGGCGCTCCGAGTGAAACGATTATATATATATATATATATATATATATATATATATATATATATTGGGAACTTACCTTTGTTGTGTGAGGTTTAATTTGTGGAGTTTGAAATGATTCGTCAGATACGTCCGAAATGTCTATTTAAGGAAATATTGAGAACACGTTATCCAAATTATTTTTTCAAATCAAAATCATATATATATATATATATATATATATATATATATATAACTCTACCAACTTTAAAAAACATGACAATCATCTGACTACTTATATAACAATTTAAAATATGCAGATGACGTAGTTCTGTTTGGCAATGCATCATTTTAAGATAACCTTGAGCAACATAACAAACATGTTTAGGATGCGTTCTCCTTCCTATCAAACTGAAATTTTCTCAAATGATATTCTCTATCCTCTAATCTGTTTTTTTCTAAGATTGACAGTACTACTGCTTTTAATACTATTAAAAGCATTTTGATGGTTTCTTACTTCCCGTTGTATTGTTGTGTTGCGACAAATTCAAACTGATGCAGGTTTACACTGAGTTCTATTTCGCTTCCAACTGACTGAGATAAGGTTTTCAAGTGACTGTGATAATATTCAGAAAGACATTCTCAGGATTCTTAATAGATCACTAAATCCTTAAGTTTTTCGTTTATTTTCTGAGTTCATATTGATGCTATCGATTCAAGAGGAATTCTACGAACACACACCCTTAGGAATTTAAATTGAGGTAATCAAAATGTAATACAATAAAACTGATGAGTTGGAAATCCTTCCCATAGAAGTAATCATAGTCTCGAGTTAAACTAAGTCCAAATAGGTAACCACATTGAAATCATGTCAATAACGAAATTGAGATGGCCATACTGAATCGAGTTTATTTAGTTTTCATTAATGAATTCAAACATTTTTATGACTTATAAGCACAAATATCTTCAAAATTGAACCAAAAATGTAACATATTGAACAGTGGATTGTATGATTATATACTTTCAAAAAGACTACCCATAGTAATTCATAAGAATGTCAAGCGAACCAGGTTACAAAAGCTCGACATCTTACCTGGCATAGAAAATGAATGTTTATTAAATCGGTATTTTGGTCTTCGTTTGAAGATTGGTCTACGAAACTTTGTAGATGGGTTGGAATACTTGCTAAATGAGTTTGCGTCGTGGAAACGATCGGACATGACTGATGAATTACAAGCTTTATAAGTATGCACTGTAGTTGGCGAAGTAGGAGGCGAGTAGTGAGAGTTATATTCACATTGATCAGCAGCTAACGCTTTTTTACTAGAATCCATCGCCCATCGAAACATATTTATCCCAACCAAAAAACAACATAGTAGAATAGGACCAATTATGGCACCTTCAGGACCTTGACAGTATATTCCACCAGCAATCGCCAAACCGGTAAAATAAGGATGACCCGCTCTGAAAAAAGCGCAAAATATATAATTATCATATTCGAATGGTTGTGAGTGGTTTCACCATACACCACCATGGATTTAGATGATTGATGGAAATGTTCGTCAGAGTCAGCTACAACGTAGGACCAGGCACATATGTGCATCGGTCCAGGTTGCTATACCTCATTAGCACAACAAGATGAACACCGGATTCATAGGAGTGGTTAGGTCAAAGGTTGCAATAAGGATATAGTATAGGAAGGAAGAATTAGTTCGTAGAAAGAAAGATATGAAGTGATTTAATCTCTTAGTTTAAGGGAAGACAGGGAGTGTATACACCGACGCCATTGTGATCGATTCTGAGCCATGTCACCAAGAGTCTCCAACCATTGGTTACGATAGTCACGCGGACCCCAACCAAGTAGTCTGCATCTACCAACATGGCTCAGACTAGAAGTTAGTGACTTCAAGCACTGATGCCACGTTTTGGTTTGGCCGCCCCTAACTTTCTTCCAACCAACCCCTACACCGGTTAGCATTGCACGTCGTGGTAATCGGTGTTCAGGCATACGTAATACGTGGCCCAACCATCTCAGTCGATGAAGATTCACAACCTCATCAACTGATTTACCATCATTCCCTAATACCCTACGTCTAACCTCACTATTACTTACCCGGTGATCCCAGCAGATGCCAGCAATATTTCTAAGGCATCTGTGGTCAAATACTTGTAGCTTACGAGTGTCTTCTACTCTTAATGGCCACGTTTCGCTGCCGTAAATTAAAACAGAACGGACTGCCGCGCAATATACTCGTCCTTTTATTGATAGACGGATATCTCGCCTCCGCCAAAGGTGACGTAAGTTGGCAAAAGCCAAACGAGCTTTTCGAATCCGTGATGAGATTTCGTCAGACACCAACCCATTAGGGCTGATCAGACTTCCAAGATAAGTGAAGTTGTCGACGCGTTCGACTACTTCACTCCCTATCCTTAGTTCAGGTGTTGACGCACACCAGTCCTGAAGCAACAACTTGCATTTAGAGGGAGAGAAGCGCATCCCAAACATTCTGGCATTGTTGCTTAGTGCTACCAGAAGACTCTGCATTTTGTCAGCGTCTTCACCAAACAGGACTATATCATCTGCGTATTCTAAGTCGATAAGTGGACCTCCTGGAAGGAGATCAATACCCGAAAATTCAGTCGACGAGAGTGTTATTTCCATCAATAGGTCTATGGTGAAGTTAAACAAAAATGGAGAAAGTGGACAGCCTTGACGGACACCACTTGAAATTGCAAAAGTAGATGACAGTTCGCCATAAGCCCTGACTCGACTAGTGGTGTTCGAGTAAAGAGCCTTCACAAGGTTTAATGTTCGTCAGAGCACCAACCTTATACTATTTCTTGTTAATTTATGACAGTAGTCATATAATCGGATTTTAAAATGAATAAAATGGTTCAATAAAGAGTATTAGCTTACACTCATCTACCAGGGCTTATGAGATCTAGTAAGAGCCACAACCCGTCTTACGTTATATGAGACTCATACACTAGAGAGCAAACACATACAAGGTAGATGATTTATGTTAAGCTCAATTATCAGTCTTTAAGTAAACGTATAGATAAAGTATTCAAGTTCTAAGTTAAAACTATTATTTATTACAAGTGTACGGTACACAAGAGAAATTATTCTAAAAACCAAATCCTTATTATATTTCAACAAACGACACAGAAATCCAATGCAAACTAGGGATTAAATGCATTAAACAGAACAAAATAACAATCTGGTGTCGAATTTTTTGAAAGATTTGATAAGTTCTAATGAGAATCCTTATTGATAAAATCTAACCACTTTATGATTAAGACAGGTGCTACTTATGGTAAAAGATAATGGCCACGCAGTGCAGTGGATTGACTGATTTCAGAAAAATGGACACCATTAAACAACAGGCTGATGATAGCGCGCTTGCTGTATGGCGTGGATTCGATCGTTGATAGAGTCGTGAGGTTGGACTACTGATATGTCCTATAGTGGGACAAACAGCCGTATAATCCCCGATGGTTTACGACAGTTGCCTAGGTCAACTCAGTCCTCAACTTAAACGATTTCCAAACTGAATAATCTTCACAAATCTCGCATTGTAATAAAAGATTGGTGACTAAGTAGTAAACATCAGCACACAAAATGTCTTAAAAAATATAGAGCTCACTAAATTTTTCGTTTGGGAATTTCTTTTGTGCTTTACATAGAACACAAAACTGTGGGACAAATAGGTATTTAAGAAAAAACACCTTGGAAAACTTAAATCTTTAAAAGTATGGATTTTGACTCTTACAAGTGCTGTGTGCCACAAATATCTATCACCAAACATATCTGTAGAAAAGAGCTGTCATGAAAAAGACAGATAAAGAATTGATAAGAGGAATTATTTTTGGTCACAGAATCTGCAATATCTGAGTCTGTAAGATAAGACAACCAAATGACATAACTCCTTCTGGTTAGTTGTCGGATTCAATTAACGCCTCATTATAAACTGTGCCAACTAGCCACAACACTTTGCACAGAAAAGTGTTTTAGTTCCCGAAAGTACGACCAGAACGTACTGTAGTATATTTTTTTATCGATAATTTAGATTTTTCGAATACCAATCATAAAAGCAATAACCATATAAAATTGCATACTTAATATCTGGTGCTAAAAACTTAACTATATAATTGTAAATAGTATATTCGTCATTAATCCAACATCTCTGGCAGCGACAAATAAATTATTCAGTATTTATCAGTCTTCCTCACTTTTGGAGCCTAAGATAGTGAACAAATGGGAACGGTGGTGTTCATAATATAACATTATGAGGAGAGCGAAATCCTAACATACACATAAATAGTCTAAAGAAATGCACTTTAATTTCTTACCCGATTAATAATACAAATAGTACAGCATAGAAATACATTTACGAAAATTACACTGAAAATTTGCAATTATTTACTTCACTCAATTGTAGCTGAATGGGGTTCAAGAAACTAATAATATTGACAACGGAACGTCGATTGAATAAACACTTTGTTCTCAAGACTAAACGCAGTTTCATTTCAAACAAAATAATTATTTACTAATAATAAATAACAGAAATAAATTTTGTTACCCTTTAATTTCTCTATAAACTGAAATATCAACGACATATGTTGGCAACAAATGGAAAAGTATGAGAAGACCAGCTTGAGATAATGACTGACGAATTATAATAATCTCAATTGCACCCGGTAGAACAGCCCAATATGTGCCTATAATTGGGACAGCGCCTAATATAGCAGCAAATACTGAAAATAGAATTAAGACGAAAATAAGTATAATACAATATAAATTAAATCATGAAATAAACTCCTTTCAAATTAAGAAAATTAATTCATAGTTTAAAAGATATAAATAATAAATTCTTAAGTGCCAGAAACCTGTATACCCAATTGTTTAAATATGTTGACAAATAAAAACTAGACAAACTGATCAGAATCGAGGGTTGACTTTTGAAAACTTCGTCTCGGAAAACCTTCATTACCTTGGTTCCAAACCAGTGGTGCACATGGACTCCGGGATCCTGAGGGAATAAATGGCGTTTGAACTTATTGTTGGTCACCGACTGTTGTAGTAAGCCCATTCAACTATTGTATTATTTGTCTGATCACTGTAATTTAGACACTCAATCCACTATGTAGATTTTTGTGTGAGTCTGATTCGGCGCGTGTCTGCACATCAATCTTTAATCTATTCTCATGTTGATTGTAATACACAGACAATCAATAATTTATCCACAATCGATTAACACTTATAAATATATATGGATTTTTAACACAAACTCATACTCACTTGGTTTCCCTGTGTGCTTGCTTCCTGTACGTTTGCGGATTTTACCAATCTTAAAAAAATAAACTATCTCTATAACTGATGTTCAGGCTTTTGAATAATCTTGAGTAAATCCATAATTCTACCAGGAGATTTAATCTGCCTTCAATACTCAATTAACGGGATACTATTTATTGGAGTCAGATATAGAGGAAATTAGCCTCTACACTGTCATGGGACTGCATCTCCCACCGCCTTATTAACTAGACTTCTGGGTCAAAGGATCGGAGAGTGGCACTCTAAGAAAACTAACTGCCTCGGTTTAGGCACCCGAGAAGTATTCTAACCCTTACATAATTCGAATGATGATTATAACTGGGAAAAAATATTCACGTCTCAATCTGTATCTTGACAACTTAAATTCAAAATCACTTAGTAACATTCGTTTTTATTCTACATTGTGCCACTTGTCCATTCAGTTTTATTCTCATTCTGTATATTCTTTTATTTTTCAAATTACACAGCAGCTTGCCTATGGTGGAGACCCTCTCCTTTCTAAACGATCTCAAGTCACTGACTGGTCGGAAGTTGGATGCTACCACCGACTAGAATTTCCGGAACAGCCACGTATGCCATTCAAACTGGCCTCCTTCAACGTTCACACGCTAAGGTTGGTTATGTCTTTAAAAAGTCTAAACATCGGTGTCTGTTGTCTATCCGAGAACCGTATTCAGGATTCATCAAATTGATTGCAGCCTCTGCTGCAACTAAATACCAAACCGAGCTAGGTTCGAGGTGAGCTATCAACCCACCGAAAAATATAGATGAGCACTAGCTGCCATTGCATGGCGCCGTGAAAACGGCGAGTAAAGTCGCCTGCGGCTTCGCAAAACGTCCCGCACTGGGTTTCTTCAAGCTCATTACAACTCGTTGAAGCACGTCGGTCTACCCCGTGTGCCCGCGAGTTTGACAAAAAAGGAAGATTGTTACGTGGTGAAATTGTGCAAAGCTTGCGTAAGGAACATGAAGCCCGGTGGTCGGGGCATCCTAACGAGTTGAGAGCAGTAGCTGCACCTGGTAACTGCTGAGTGCTCTTTCAACTCATCCGAGTTGCTTGTATCAAGAAGTCTGGTGTGAGTCAAACAATCTGTGAAGCCAACAGGATCTCAATCAATAACATCTATTGACGTCTTGGACTATGGGCAGAGTTTACAGAGAAGCAGCTCAACTGGTCTGCTGCTCCAGAGGCATCGATCAGACTGTTCTGCCCTCCACGGCCGGTGACAACTTATCCACTTAATGAGGTGGAATTTAGCAAGAAACTCCAACTTTTGAAGTGCCACAAATCATCAGGCTCGTATGACTTACCTCCAGCGACTTCTAAAGATGGTGGCGACTTTCTAATTGAGGAACTGGTTGAGTTGTTTACAAACATTCGGGAATTAGAGAGCTTTTCAACATCGTGGAATGAGTCAATAGTTGTCCCTATATTTTTGAAAGGGGTTCACGTCATCTATGCAACAACTATCGGGGATAAGTCTACTTCCGACCGCATCCAAACTATTGACTTGCGTTGTATTTCATAAATTGTTCAAACCCCGGGAAAGATTAACTCGCAAGGAGTAAGGTGGTTTTCGTTCTGGTCGAGGATGTATTGATCATATCTTCACCTCCCACCAAATACTAGAACGCTGTCATTACTTATTTACAGATCAACAATCGTAATGTTCCATGAAATCAAGGGCGCCTTCGTTTCGTTAGACAGAACCGTCCTCTGGGATTGTCTATTGAAGATCAGTGTGTTTGAGATTATTACCATTTTGAAATCACTACATATAAACAGTTCATGCAGAATGAGGGCATATAACCCTCTCTCTCCAGTGTTTCATTCAAGCTATGGGGTTAGGCAGGGTTGTCCAATCTCGCCACTTTTGTTCGACTTTGCCATTAATGAGATTTTGGAAACAGCTCTGGTGGATATAGGTAATGGCGATGTGGATCTGTTGTCTAGAGAAGGATCTTTTGACCTTCAGTTTACGGATACTGTCTTTCTGTACGATGATATCTAAGCCATGCAATCCTCACTTAATCAGTTGGCAATCAGTGTACGTAGGTACGGCGTGTGCTTTTCACCTTCTAAGAGCAAAGTATTTTTAAAAGACTGGTAGGACCCCGAACTCATTCTGGGTAGTAAACAAAATGTAGTTGAGATGTTCATGTATTTGGGTAGCTCCATAAGTGATGGTGGTGGCGTGAGTGACGAAATCAAGTCACGTATAATGAAAGCCAGAGCGGCTTATGCCAATCTGGGCCATCTTCCGTGCCTTTGTGATATTAGTCTGGTTCTAAAAGGTCGGATCAACAACGCGTCGGTGAGAGCAGTTTCACCCTATGCTTGTGAAACCTGACCTCTTTGAGTTCAGGATTTTAGAAAACTCTCTGTGCTTGATCATCGTTGTCTCCAAAGGGTTGCTGACATCCAGAGGCTACACCATGTTAATAATACAGATGTTCAGCAACGTGTATTCGGATACAGCGACAATTCGATTGGTGTCACCATCCTGAAACACAGGCTTTGCCATGTACTATGAATTTTGTCCCAGAGAATCCACATCGTGCATTATTTGTCGATGCTGGGACTGGTTGGGAAAAGAGAAGAGGTGGTCAGTGCATAACATGGTGTCGTGGTATGAAAGGAGGCTGTACAGGACTGGCTTCTTTTGGACCTTCACGACTCCCTTAGTTGGGGTCCTAGAAATGGTGCAACACAGTGGTTCGAGACGTTTTCAGAAATGGCTCAGAATAGAAGTCAATGGCGATCCTGTTGTAACTTTCTTTTACTTCTTTCATAAAAGTGAAAGCAGCTTCCTTAACTCAAAGAATTCTTTCTAGTTGTGTTTTTCCTAACTGAACTGCTGGTCCCATTGTTATTATTATTATCATTATTATTAATAATTTGCTCTCATACAGTAATTCCTGTTCATTGTTGCTCTTCATTTTTACTATACTCACCTTCTATTCTCTGTCTTCACAACCTCATTTTTATTATGTGGTTCATATATAACCGGTGCCCCTTTGTATCAATGTTATATGCTCAAATAAATAGATAATCAAATCCCTAGAATTAAGCGGAAGATACAGAGTAGAGACTCTTTTGTATAATTTGGAGTCTCCGCCTGCTGAAATCTATCTACTAGACAAAGGACTTACATCAGAAGCAAACAACTTTACGAACTAACGTCACGCATTGGTTTAACCACCCCTGACTTCCTAACAGATTATCAGATTTCACCAATGTTACAGACCGACAGATATCAAGCGAAATGTTCGCATATGTGCTAGATGTTTTGTAGATGATCATATCAAATAACGCTAGGCTAGTCACTGAAATACAAGAAATACAGACACGTCATAGAATTTTTATTCTTAATGACGATAACAATGATTAAACATTTACTAAAGTGTAACTATGTGATGACAGCCTTAGGATATAATTTAAGAGAGATTTGCAATAAAAAACACTAGGTAGAAAACAAGAGTAAAAAATAAATCACATCAAAAAAGAAAAACTCGTGGTCACAATAATTTCAATACGTCTGTTTGAGTTATCAATGAAAACGGAAAATTGTGCACAGATGTTGTCACATTTTCTTCGATAATGACACTACTTCTGCTATTACTATTAATAGTATTATTATCAGTGTCTGAGCAGAAACAGTATCACTTGAAAGATGAAGAGATGATCAAAAGATTAATTGCTAGAATTTAACTCTACCATTTAAACTTATGCAAATAAGATATGATAATGAACAAATTATTCATGCTCAAAATAGAAAGTAATTCTACACGACACTTTTCCTCACGTATTATCACATACTACTATTACCATTACCTAACAGGTAATCTTCAATAAATGATTTTACAAGTCGATAATACAAAATGAACTAAGTAAAATAGCTCACCAGATGGAATTATTACAAGATCTAATCCAAATATAATATGAGTAAGTGATGTATATAAACCATAAAATAAAGCCAATTTTAATGTTGCAACAAATACTCCACTAATAGCTGATTCCACAGTTGAATATAAATGCGTAATTAATGAATTAGTTCCAGAAAAAGTTGGTGTTAATGAAGAAATGAAAGCAACAGGGAGATAACACGATCCACTCGCAGCTAATACATAATAAAGAACTGTTAAAAAAATGAGCTGAAATAACAAATAAATAAATGAACAAATACGATTGTAGATAGAATTGATAAAAATATTCGAAAGTCAACTAAATAACTGAATATAGGCTTTTTGGACAAACTGTTCAATTAAATGCATTCTACAGCGGATAACAATACTGTACGATTATTACTCAAACTAGGTGAATAGAAAGTGTACTTAATAGGAAGAGGTGAGTCGTAGTAAAAACAGAACAGAAAATAAACAAGAGTCTGACTTAAATTTAGAAATATGAAAAAGTTTTATTCAACTATTTTAAAAGAAATTATCTAAAAAAAATTCAAGTGAAAACTTAGGTCACTAATTATAGTTTGGTTTATTTTAATAGGTTTGCTTTGGTTTCAGGGTAATCAAAAAAGCAGACAATATATTGGTGCAATTGTAATAGAGGGGTAGATTAGATATTTAACGGATTCCGACGGGCGAAGATAAACTCCATTCTCGTTCATAATTTCGACGTTGGACCTGGCAACTAACCACAATGAAGCGGGAATTCTTACTTAAACTATCGTAATCCATAACGCAAGTTGTAACTCGTTCTTCGTCGTTTTATCTGGTTTACATGAACAATGTAGTTTTGACGATGAAAATAATACTCCATCATATTACTGACGCATTAGCTGTAGCGCAGTCAATTATGATGGAAGCAAAATCACATGGCGAACGTCATACGTCCAATTAATTTTCTAATAAAAGTTATTCCGAAATGGCCGGGGAATAAACTCCACGTCGTTAAATCATCTGAGTGTATCATATTCAGTAATTTCGGTTAAATTTTCGTTTATTTAATCACTCAATTGTAGATATTATGGAATAAAACGACGAAGAACAAGTCACATCTTCAGTCATGGATTACGATAGTTTAAATAAGAATTCCCGCTTCATTTTGGTTAGCTGCCAGGTCCAACGTCGAAATTGCGAGAGAAAGTGGAGTTCATCCTTACCCAATTTCAAAGATTTTGAACGGAAAGACAGGATTAGTTGTATTAATCCACAGTTACATTCATTTTTCATCTTCATTAGAATCTCCTGTTAAGTGTCGATCCTCATTTTTATATTTCGATACATAATTGACCAAATTTCCTTTCTTTTGCTCTGTATTCTAATAATTTCCACACTTGCTGTGTTGATCTGAGCTATGCCAACTTAAATTGATAAACATTCGTGCCAGATCTTAACATTATTTATAACTGACTGATCTTAACATTGATAAATATGACAAATAGAAAATATCATATATAGGCACCATGATAGACCATACACATATTGTGTAAACAGACAAATTCCTCATTAAACTTGTCACAGTATCAATAAACAGACTTTTATCAACAACAACAAAAAAAGTTATTTTAGATATTCAAAAACCAAATGACAAAACTTAACATTTCAGATAAAGTAATCAATACAACAAACAAAGTTGCAAACCTTCAGTGAATAGACCCACTATTAAAGGAATAATAAAGAGAATTTATTGTAACTGATCACATTAATCAGTAAATATTTTCAGGCAAATAATAATGGTATTAACTAAATAGAAGTTAACAGAAAAATTTAATTAAATGTAATTCAACTAATTTACCTACATCAAACTAAAAATAGAAACGCTAGTATTAATCATACAAACACACACACACACATTGGAAATGAATCAGTTATAACATGTAGGTACTAATGATGCAATGAATAAAGACATGATAACTAAAAATCATACAAACTAACTTTGATTTGGTTAGAAATTGATTGAATTAGTGCAATTCGCTTATATATACTACTAATAAGCCTATATTTTAGACATGATTACAAATGAAGTATATACATATGTAGTTAAATGGTGAACTGTACATCGACTAAATAAGTGCAAAAGGTGTAATTTGCTATGATGAATTTTCCTACCTCTTTCGTAAATGACCTTTCAAATTTACAAATAGTATAATATGTATTATGGAAAAGCATGTAACTAATAATCTACCAGTATATGGAACTTACAAAAGCAATCATAAAATTCATTGCCACATGCCCACCACTCATTATCAATGAAAATAAAGTTGTTATTAACTGAGCAATTAAATTCACATTACTACGCATCAAACCCCATACTGATTCTGTGATAGTTGCAAATGTGCCCAAGTTCTGTTTGAAAATCACAAACAACTAAATAAAATTGAAGAAACACGAAAACGACATTATACAATAAACAAATAAGCATCGCTATTATCATTGTTCGTATTTAATGTGATAGTTAATAAAGAGAATAAATTCGTTTATCTTAAGCATTAAGTTATGACAGAAAAAGTTACGATCCGACCAAGACATCGCATACACTAAACAAAAATCAAATTTGGAAAGATACTAAGTATGTTAATGCTATAAAACAAGTCAAATCCAAGCCTGAAAGAGTTATGATGAGGAACTGGACGTTTTATACCACTACAATCAGTCTGCGTAGTTACGCTCCAAATTATTGTGGCTACCCACACAAACAAGCATGAGTTATTAGTATTATTCATTTGAGCATAAGGCAAATACGTTTACGTATTCTCGCTGTTTTCGCCTACCATATAACTGGGCTGATGAAGCGCTGAGTATCATGAAAAAACAGTCCAATAAGTAATTATAACAATACGTATTTGCCTAAAGACTGTAAATACGTTTACAAATAGTTAACTAATAGAAAATAATTTAAAGGACGATGGTTTTTTGTAGACTTCAACCGTCCATTCGAAATAAAAAACGTTAAATCATTTACGCTACAAAAGAAGATATTTTTCTACTTTTGAAGATTAATTCAACCCGGAAAATGAGTTAATTAGATCACATTTTTCGTATCCAGAACTTAACATCATCAATGACCAGCAAAAGTAAGAGGGCAAACATGATTCTAGTCAATTAGAAAAAATAAACAACTGAATATCACTCACTGAACTTAAAGCGTGGCGATTAAATATCCGAGTAGTATTGATAAAAAATCGATTTAATGAAACTCTTCCAACCCCACGTGGAGTAATTGCATTGGAATTTATATGATTATGCAACAAGAACGGTAAAGTTTGATTATTAATGACTGATTGATTAGTCATCAATGTAGTGTTCATTGACTGGGAAAAAAGTACATAAATATGCATGCATGTTAAGATTTGTAAATTGTAATATTAGACGAATTTGAAAGTAACATTCATTAAAAAGTGAACAATACGAGCATTAAACAGATATGGGCAGTAACCTCTGAAATGATTAGTGAAATACTACAACACTATATGGACTGGTATTCGAAACTTGTTGATAGTATAGAAAGTGTATATATTTTGGTTTACAAATAGTAATTTGTGCTGCCTAATTCTAAAAGATATAATCATTTTCGTCATTTTACCTAGTGTCTATTGTATCAATGAAACTTAATAACAGAAATAAGTTTAGTGTACACGGCAGCTCCTGAACTGACAGAACACTTTCTGGAAAATTTAAAAACACCTGAAGCTCGTAGACATTTCTAGATGGTATATATATATATGCTCTCTCTACAGACTACAGTGGTTGGGCCGTGTTACACGTATCAAAGCTCCATTTGCTGAAATATTCAATGTTGAACGGAGTATCACTGGGTCGAAGAAAATAAGAGCGGTCAGAGCAATAAACAGCACCACCACATGAAGCTACCATCTTTGTTTAAATCATGTAGGAAAACATGGTCCTCTAAGGACAAGGTTTCTGAGATAATGGATTTCAGTAATAATTGATCCCGAGTAATCTCTTATTGTTCTACCCTTGAGTCGAAATGAAAACAACAAAGAAATCAATTCGAAAGTTTGAAATATCACAATTTATCTTATCTATGTAGAGGAACCCATGTCACAATATGACGATATAAAATTCCCTACTTATTAAATCAGTTTGTCATAATATTCTCATAAAATCTACACAAATAAACAGTGTATATATTTTACAAAGAAGAAAAGGAAAAAAGTAGAACTATTCACACATTATACATTCATGATACATATTGATAATCATTAACCAGTAGAAGTCATACATATTAATCTGATGATTACCTGATTGATAAAAGAATTATAAATATTCTCCCACAAATATAAAAGTTGTTCTTTTAATATTGCCTTTGAATTCGGATCTGCTTCGAAAAGTTCATTGATCTATCAACATTATAAATTAATCAATGTGATCAGAACAGGAGTTTACCATTAAAAAAAATACATACATAAGACAAACAGTAAATAAATTAATTCATTAATTAAAACCAATACTTATTAGTAATATAGTCAACAATTTAAGTAGGAAATCTAAAATAATTTATCATAACAAAAGGGACAGACAACATCATTACTAAAACTAACTCGAGTTCACTTAAACGCATTAAGAATCATAATGTTTATTCCAAGATATTCAAGAGAAAATGTTTTTTAATGTATCCATATATATATACATATATATATATATATATATTCAATGGAATTCACAAACCTTTTCATAGTCAAAGGTAACAAAAGTACAAAAAATAGGTGAATCAATCGTATTTAAATATTGTGAGGTTTGCTTTTGCCTACAGCCTGCAAAACAACTCTATTGACCAGCAAAAGCATAGTATAGGAACAGGCTCGAAGCAAACGCGAATTAGAAAACAATAATAAATATTGCAAAGTGTAAACAGATGTTATGCTGTTAGTAGGTCTACTAATGTTCGATAAAAGAACATGGTAGGTAGATAATATCTCTATTATGTAGCTGTTCGTTACCACAACTCAAAGTATTCTGTAGAACAAACATCAACATTAGTCGGAAATCACAATATAAGTATAGCTACACCATAAATGAATGAGAAACTAAGTAATAGACCCATAATTAATTCATAACAAATTAAGAAAAGTAAAACATAATGATAGTTTGTGAGCCAAATGAAAAATTACAGTCAGGGTAAATGAGAATACAATTATCTAAATGCCTAACTACTATACAGCAAAATACAAACAATAATTCTTTGCAAGATAGTTCCAAAAGTTACCGCTTTTCTTAATATCACCAATATAACAGAAGCAACCAACTCTTCTGACCACTTCATATACATGGTTAGTTTTATCAGTCCTGGTGAACCAAACGTCCATGAAATCTTTACGAAAACACCATGACGTTCTGACGATATCCAGGTGTCCATTAAACGGCAAGTATGAAGCACAGAATAACACTCTTAATGAATGGTTAGAGACACTAGTGTCTAATATTCAAAGTCTAAAAATAATTACTAGTCTATGGTGCAAGTACTATTTGAGCACTGTTGAGGTTGAACATAAAAATCAAAGTAAAATATGAAAACTGATCAATAGGGTTGTTGGAATTCGCTTTACAAATATCGAGACAACATAATGTTGACCAATGAAGAATTAAATTAGGTAAAACCATTCATTTGCGAACATATGCTCATAGACTTGACCTTGAGTCACATTATTTGTGTGAGAGACAGTCCAAACTGAAGCAGATGGGGAGAGATTTAAACCTGAAACGCAATGGTTGAAAACCTTGTACTCTAATGACTGTGGAGATTGATGAAAAAAGTGTAGTGACTAAATTAAGATATCTTGCTAATCAGGGAAGTAACATGCTATTGGTTTAAGCTATTTACAAAATGTTGATCTCATAGTGGAGTCTGTGAAATGTTAGAAATCAATTGTCAATATGGTCCAAAACACTGAGGATAAATGTTGTTAATTCTTCATATAACAAACTTCCGGATATTTACACTAACAATCCCTTGTTAATTTATGATAATTCTGTGGATCACTTTAACATCTTATTCCTCTCGTGCTTTTGAGACGTATGACAACTTGGACTGATATGATTTACCATAAGGAGTCCTATATTCTTCTGCCTACGCCCTTTCTCTGGTAATTACATTCTGTAAACCTTATTTGGTTTCAATCCTTCAAGGCCTTCAAAGTATATGTGAAAATTCGAATGAAGGGCACAAAATTACAAAGGTACAAATCACGAAAATTGATAAAGTAAAGAGCATGAGTTGAACAAAATGTTTTGAATGAATCAAACGAGTATCTCGAGCCGTTAAAACTAAAGATCTCCAAGGAGAAAATATTTTTATTTCTAGTAAGTTGATATATGAAAGAACAACTTGAGAAATAATCAAATTGAACCTACCTTATCGGATATCCAACTTCGTCCAGCCTGATAAGCATTTGTAACTAAAACATTAAACATCCCATCAACTTGTTCCCTTCTAGGAAGCCAACTAGGGAAGAGAAATAAACAATAAAATTACTTGCATTTTACAGAAATATTAGGAAATAAGAATAAGTTCAATAAAATGTGATTTTAATATTTTAGTGATAATTCTTGCAAACCAATATCAGACCTAGCAAGATGTGGTGGAAAACGAAGCGAATTCAGCACGAAAATGTATATTTGAAAATTGCAGTGTAAGCTGTATTTTTGTCTATGGAATGGATAATGTTATTCAGATTTTCGAATTTCGGTGACAAATATGTAGGCTAGTTCCAATACTGGACAAAATATAACCACTGAAATAGTATAACTTCAACCAATTAGTTATAATGTATGGTTGGTGAGGCTGCACTTCTAGACTTAACAGCTTAAAAAAGACTTCGAATATCACCAATGCAACAAATAAGATGTTCCAATTGACTGATGTTTTAAGAACTTGGTTTGAAATGCATGGTACAACAGAGACATTTGAAATCACAACCGACGATTTGAAATGAAACAAAACGCTTTTGTACAGGTTTTCAGGTCACATAAATCTGTTGAGTGTAGAAGGATGTGCCTATTTATTTAAATGTTAATGTATGATAGATTATTGAAAAACTTTGCATAGGCTTAAAGATTTTTACTAAATAGTGAAGAAGGAATACAAATCCGGGTAAAGAGGCAAATAAAATGTGTGGAAAATTAATAAAATCGTCTATTCAGTCATGTCACATCATTTCTGAGCGTATAGACTACGGTTGACTGTGAACAAGTTGTGGCATCAACCGGTTGTCTAAACTGATGGATATACAATTGGTTTAAACCTCTGCTCAAATGCTGTGTTTGTAACATCAAGTTATATCTCATCAGACAAGAGTTTTAACGAGAAACAGTACTGCATCGATAAGAAAAACCTGCTGGTACACTGGAATCTTGCAGGTTTTAATAATTATTGTTGTACCTTCACTGACGAAGGGAAATCACCTTACCAGGTCGTAATGAATTGCATGATACGTTACCTGGTATTTTCCCCAGATGAAACAACTGTCTGAAATTCAACTCGATTAACCGCCTATAATAACCATCGTTTTGACTCAATATTTGGTTGCGATTTCCTTTTCACTATTTCTCTTACATGAAGAGTTTGCATCAAATTGAGTTTTATTTTATTATATGATTGAGTTTATAAATCGATCATTTAGTTTCTCCATATGGAACTTGAGGATTAGTTCTATGAGCTGCTTATTGACTCAACCATCTCAACTGAGTTATTTATGAATCGTCAGTTATCTAGGTAGGTATCTTTTTAAAAAAATCACTACATTGATTGTACAGAATGATGTAATAATGTATACATTAAAATAAAATTTCTATTTAGGCAGGAAAGTAACAATATTTCAAGAAATCGGATGCATAAAATGTTGAAAAGTTTCCAGATGAATTATACACGTGAAATGTATAAATAAATACCACGTCCTTAAATATCCTTACGTAAATAAATACAAACACACAATATCCTATAAGTGACTAAGAAGTCTAGAAACATCAGAGAAATAGAAATAGAGAATGTCGAGTACCAATAAAACATCAAATCATCAAACAATAACAGTATTCTATAACGATACTATTTGTCGGTAATTGAACTAAAGAATTTTTCAACATCAACAGTTAGTAAATGAATATATTTACAATTGAACAGCGATATATGCCACTGATGCTAGTCGTTGTATTCTCTGACAATAAATATGCACCACGGACGAATCACTTAGGCCGCTACCCTCCAATATTTGATTTACTAACTGTTATCAAAGTATTTTCATGAGATTTAACAATGAATAAGCTGCAGTGGTGGCTATTTATGATTGTGCGTAATATTCAGCAATCACTGCTTTATAACAAATTAGCATACAACTTGAAAATTTGTATTATATCAACTTAAAATCAAACTACTGTTATATTTTATTAAATCAATTAAGTTTGAACACAACGAAAATAGTAATTAAGATTAATTTAAGCCATTTTATACATTTACTGTTTGATGTATCAGGTTTTATTTGGTAGGATGAGCTCAACCTAACAAGTATAGAAAGTTTTATCTATTCGGTTTTGTTAAGATTCTTGAACTCTAAAAGGCGATATCAAATTAACACTTAACACAAAATAAGTCAAGTACTATTATCATTATATTGTTATGAATCGAAAAGCCTCATTGGAAACGTATATCAAGATACCTTATGCAAATAGTGTGGTTTGAACTTGTAACATTTATATTTAATGGGGACTTGGGTGTAAACGATGAACACAGCCGCATACCCTGCTTTTAATCTGCAATTTAATGGCATTTAAATAATCATACATTAGCTGAAAGACAAAGATCAGACGTTAATACAAGCAAAAGACTATGATATATGTTTAGAATGTCATATATCAACAGACTACACTAACAACCTACTACTTAATTACGATATCTGATGGGAAAACCAGTAAATTAGCTTTCTGTGAAAAGGAAATAAAGAAAGCATGTACATTGTTCATTGTCAGTGGAAATGTTCTAGTGGCCCAGTTGGATCGTTTGATGATTATTATTGAAACACACATTTTGGTTACCCTAGTATATAATTATCGACTTAATTCGCCCTACAAAATAAAGGAATAAAATAAGTCATATACGAGAATGAATTTCGAATACGAATACTCTGTACACTCTTTGGTCTGAACAGACAATCAGAGAAACGAAGTGAAAAAGCGAAGAGAGCGAAGCGGACCGGAGGTGTGTGAGCTAACTCAATATGATAGTGTGACTTAATATTTACATTCAGACAAAAATAAATCACAGGCACGTAATGTAACGAATAGGGTAAGCAATCAACTCACATAGATCATATAAAAACAGTCAGGATTAATAAGCGAATAGTTGATAAGGTCAAAATGTGGCCTGAGAAGAATGAATAAATTGGTCTGTCCAGAAGCTAGAATAACCTATGCTGGCTTGGCATAGTACCATCCATTACAATATCTAGGATATCTATTGTTTCAATACCACTTACCTATATGCTTCACTGTTCAACGCTTTATTGATAAAATCACTTGTTAGCGATACCAAATGAATACTTTCATTGTGAATCTGAAAGAACAAAAGAAATTATTATTATCATTATCACTATTATTATTAGTGTGAGAAACAGTATAAATTATGCTGTAAAATTTGTAAGCACCAATGTGGTGGTAGTTGTGTTAGCATATCAATTTGTAACACCGTACTCTCAGGTTCCTACTTTAATTGGACCGTATGAGTCGGTCAGTAAACTTAAAAAACTACAACATACGATTCACAATAAACAGATATCTACGAATAAGAACTAAGAGAATTCAGCGAAGAAAATTTTCTAAACGACGATATCATTTACTCAAGCTGTACAGTCGTATTTGTAATTAATTTAAATAAAACAGTTCACCGAAAGATAGGACGATTACATCATATCATGTGTCGAACAAAGGTATTTGGTAATCGAGAAGTGAAGAGAGACAATAGGATGAAAACAGATGTGAGAAGGATGGTCATCTTGATGAGTATGAGAAGGGTGAAGAACAAATGATAAATGTGATGATAATAACTAACAATCAAAATTAAGGATATTAAAAACACACACAGGATGTAACAAAATCACATTACCCTGTATAAAGACTAAGTGTTAGGCCCATCGTAGAATGATGGCTTGTATGTGTCTCTTTTGCACATAGAGTTCAGGTCCGAAATGATGGGTTGCTAGCGCCTCTGAAGTGCATAAGTTATTAATTTGTGCCTTTTTCAAATCAAATCGTCTGAATGTATAGATGATTTTAAAGGAACTGTAAGGTGGGGCCATGTAATGGGAGTTCAGAAGATTTTATAATAATAAGCTGTTGATTGATTTACATTCACCTTTCGAAAACGACGCGGGATGCGTTTGAAAAACTCTCAGCTTGTGCGACCTATGTGACTTGCTTTACAAGAGCAAATGGACTTATAAATATACAGTGAAGTGGCCCAATGAAAGAGTTTGTCCTTGACACATCCACAAATGGTGCGACGGATAAAAAAGACGATGCAAAGCTTAGCCGCATAAAAAGTTCACTTTACGGATTACGTTAGACGATTTTTCAAAATTTCGGCGGAAGTATCTCCCTTGAACTCAATGTACACTCACTGTACATTTTCCTTAGGAACTGTATGAGGTTATGTATGTTATAATTTGGGTTTTCCCGACCGCCGCTGCTACCTTGACGTGGTGATCGGGCTTGCCTATCGTGACGAATCAATCGAGCTATACCGGCTGGAACAATTGTTCCTTAAGGTTCTATCATCCCAGACAGGTCAGTTGAAGAGCGGTAAGACTAATAACAGCAAACCCAAGTTTCAAGGGTGAAGTCGCACGGCTAATTGTACAGAGGTGTGATGGCAGTAAGGTGTTTACTTCATACAATCAACATAACAGCGATGCTGCCTTCCCACAATGAGGGGTGGGGTTAGAAAAGGTCGACCCTAAAAATGCACACCTCGCCTTATCCCACGGTTATTCGTCTCCGACGGTAAGGTTTCAATAAGTACGAAGCTAACACGAAAATTACTCACAAAAACGTCGTATGTGACCGACCTCAAGCAGTTGTCCCTTAGGCACTGCGGTCACACTCTCAAGTTCTTAAGATCGCCTCTAACCCAATTTGTTTTTCAGGTACCTCCAGAAGAACCCTTCCACGGTGTGGGCAACCGGGAAGTGATAACCGCCCTCATACCTCTAACAGCACTCAAGACCACTGTATTCATAATCATTCTCGCTCGTTCATTCCTATTATTCCTCCTACATCGACTTTCAACCCTAAACTTCCTCCTTCGGCTTCCTCCTCAAGTGTCAGCATAGCTCACGATTCTAGTGCTCAAAAATCTGTCCCAGGTCTACTGAAACATCGCTCCAAACTATACACTGGAGCCTTCAACGTACACACCCTGTGTCAAATCGGTCAGCAGGTTTCCCTGGCTAAAACCCTAGAATCTCGTACCATCGATGTATGCTGTGTCTCCGAAACACGCATACAGGATCCCAGTGTGGTCATTCACTTGCCCTCACCTCGGCAAAACGGAGAGCCGACGAGATACACCCTCCGTGTATTTGGTGACCCGATGACCAGTTCTCGTGGACTGGCAGGTGTAGGCATAGCACTAAGCATGAGGGCGAAACAAGCACTGTTAGAGTGGATCCCCGTTACCAGTCGTCTATGTCCTGTTCGGCTCCGTGAGAACTCGGAAGGATAGGGACACACGTCGGTGCCTTTTCGTCGTTTCTGCCTACGCTCCCACTGACTGCAGCTCTGATGAAATGAAAGATGAATTTTACAGAAAGCTTTCTGAACTTCTTCAGAGAGCTAAACGTCCAGACATAGTACTCGTAGCAGGTGACTCTAATCCCCAGGTAGGTAGCTTGAACCAAACAGAAAGATATTTAGGTGGGTATTTTGGTATTCCGGCTCAGCGAACAGATAATGGTGATCATCTGCTGCAACTGTGCTCAGACAATCGTTTATTTTTAGCAAACACAAATTTTAAGCATAAGGAGAGACATCGTCTAACATGGCGACCGCCTGCACCAAGCCAACGATGGACTCAAATAGACCATATTGCCATCAGTCATCGTTGGAGAGGGTCGGTACAAGATTGTCGCTCATTCTGGAGTACCTGCTTGGACTCCGACCACGCCCTAATACGGGCACGCACCTGCTTGCGCCTCACTGGACGTAAAAAAGCCACAGTAAATAGACCCATTAGAACCGAACTGAGTAGCGAGGAAACCAAAAGTAGGTTCCAGGAACAACTGAGGTCACGATTAGGTAGTTCTGAAGACGAGCCTGACCCAGATGTTGCTTGGAATGAAATGCAAGCAGCTGTGGAAGCAGCAGTGACATCTATTAGCTACTTAAACCACAGAGTTTCAAAGAACCAGTGGATTTCTTCAAAGTCTATCACACTGATGGATTCTCGCAAACTCGTCCCATCAGGTTCTGAACATGATGAAGAGCGACAACTAATCAGATCTAGGTTAAGAAAAAGTCTAAGAAACGACCGTGAGCAGTGGTGGGCAACGAAAGCAAAAGAGATGGAAAAGGCGGCGACTATAGGGAACACAAGACAGCTTTACAGACTAATAAAAGAAACTGGAATTAATAAGTCAAGTGTAAATGAGATTATATCGGAAAAAGACGATACACTCATCTGCTCCCAGTCCAGGCGTTTAGAACGATGGGCGGAACATTTCAGAGAACAGTTCAGCTGGCCTTCAGCTACTCTACAACTACCCTCCATTCCCAGATAGTGTGAATGGAACATTGAAGTAGGTCCCCCAATTCTAGCAGAAGTCCAGAAGGCTATAGTTAATCTGAAACGAGGAAGAGCAACTGGTAGTGATGGATTGGCTCCAGAGGTCTTTAAGGATGATGGTCCAATTTTAGCGATTAGGTTGACTAATATTTTAGCTAAAATCTGGGAGTTAGACGTTATCCCATCTGACTGGTCGCAATCACTTATCGTCCCAATATATAAGAAAGGGTCAAAATCATCCTGTGACAACCACAGAGGGATTAGTTTAACTAATATAATATCTAAAATACTAGCCTCGATAATTATCAGACGCCTAACTAATACTCGTGAACTGCAAACACGAGAGAATCAAGCTGGCTTTAGACCTGGTCGTGGCTGCATCGACCACATACTCACCATTCGTCAGATTCTAGAACACAGGCATACTTATCGACGTCCGACAATGGTGGTCTTTCTCGACTTAAAAGCAGCATTTGACTCGGTAGACCGCGAGATTCTGTGGCAGTGTCTGTCATTGAAAGGCGTACCCCAGAAGTACATAAACTTTGTGAAGGCTCTTTACTCGAACACTCTAGTCGAGTCAGAGCTGTCCACTTTCCCCATTTTTGTTTAACTTCATCATAGATCTACTGATGGAAACAACGTTCTCGTCGACTGAGTTCTTGGGTGTTGATCTCCTTCCAGGAGGTCCACTTATCGACTTAGAATACGCAGATGATATAGTCCTGTTTGATGAAGACGCTGATAAAATGCAGTCTTTTGGTAGCACTAAGCAACAATGCCAGAATGTTTGGAATGCGTTTCTCCCTCTCTAAATGCAAGTTGTTGCTCCAAGACTGGCCTTCGTCAACACCTGAACTAAGGATATGGAGCGTGAAGTAGTCGAACGCGTCGGCAACTTATCTTGAAGGTCTTATCAGCCCTAATGGGTTGGTGTCTGACGAAATCGATTCGAAAAGCTCATTTGGCTTTTGTCAACTTGCGTCACCTATGGCGAAGGCGAGACATCCGTCTATCAATTAAGGGACGAGTATACTGCTCAGCAGTTCGTTCTCTTCTACTTTACAGAAGCGAAACGTGGCCAATAACGTTAGAAGATACTCGTAAGTTACAAGTATTTGATCACAAATGTCTTAGAAATATAGCTCGCATTTGTTGGGATCACCGGGTAAGTAGTAGTGAGGTCAAGCGTAGGATATTGAGGAATGATGGTAAATCAGTTGATGAGGTTGTGAATCTTCATCGACTGAGATGGTTGGACCACGTGTTACGTATGCCTGAACACCAATTACCACGACGTGCAATGCTAACCGGCGTTTGGGATGGTTGGAAGAGAGTTGGGGGCGGCCAAATAAAAACGTATCATCAGTGCCTAAAGTCACTAACTTCTAGTCTGAGCCATGTTGGTTGGAGTCCGCGTGACTATCGTAACCAATGGTTGGAGACTGTGTGACATGGCTCAGAATCGATCACAATGGCGTCGGTGTATACACTCTCTGTCTTCCTTTAAACTATGAGATTAAAATCACTTTATACCTTTCTTTCTACGAACTAATCCTTTCTCCCTGTATTATATCCTTATATACAATCTTTCTTTTATATATTACTACCATTGAAGTAACTACTTCTATGAATTCGGTGTTCATCTTGTTGTGTTAGTGAGGTGTGACAACTTGAACCGATGCATGTATGTGCCTGGTTCTACTTTGTAGCTGACTGACTGGATTTAGGTTTCATGTTACATCCAACAAACCTGGATGGATACCAGTTTTGAAAAACATATGTCGGAGGTTGTATAGTTCCTCGTCTACCGTATCTCCCGATAATGTTCGCCTAACCCTGGATGATAAAAATTGAATTAAGTTTCTTTTTCTACTTAAAGAGGTCCCAGCTGTGAAAACTCGTGTATTGTCCGTCCCAAGTTGGTTTTCGATATATAGGTCTCTGTAATGTATTTATGAACTGTACACAATAAAATAGGTGAGCGAGGAACTAAGTCGGGTAGAACTCATTCACAACAAATTATGTAACTACGCTTCACTACAAAAGTGGAAATTTGCACGCGAAGTCTCTGTGAGCACAAGAGAAAAGTTGCTTTATACAACTAAGGGTTATTTGGCGTTTTATAAAGGCAAGGCACATTGGCTTCAATGAAAGTCTTGACAATTGTTTCATAAATATATTGAGAACCAGTTTATAAAAAAGCAGTAGCTAGCCACTTATCACAGGTCTTATGAAGGTATTCAGTTTCTACTTTTTCACCGTTTAGTACAGTAGATAAAGAGACATATCAAAATGCAACCACCCAACAAAGTTTTTAGACTTCGTAACAGCATAAAAACCGGATAAAAAGGCAAAAATCGATATCGAGTAAATAGGCTGAAGGAAAAAAACAAAAGTAATAAGACAGGAGACTTGAGAGAAAACAAGGAGTGAATACATCACTGTAATCGATGTGGAATTATATCGCTCAAAGTTAACAATTAATGATCTTCATTTTAACACTTATCGGGGATTCGACCACTAAAACGTCATGGCAGTTTTAGTATATTCAGTGATCGGGTCACAACAGTTACTCCACCAAGAGAATATCTTTAGACAAGCTAGAAATATTTTCCTTTGCTTATTTTTCACCGACTGAAACTAGCTCTTCTTATTAATAATACAAATATACTCATTATTCTTCATATGCTTAAAAGGTTTACCTACGACCATAAATAAGATTTGATTTACTTTTTAGCTATATCGGATCACATTCTACTATTTTACTTCCAATCAAAAAGCTCCCACAAGTAGATTCCTTAAAAATTACAAGTAGACACAGAAAGATACTACAAATGGACCCAAACAATTCATTTATATGAGAGGCAAAGATAGTTGTCAATGAGTTACAAATAAACTGCCAGACCAATTTTGATGCAAATCAGGAAGCTTCCTTTACTAAAACGAACACACAAAAGGTACAGACTGATCTCGATTCTTCAGGGACACAAAACAGTTTTGACCTTTATTGAATCTTGTAACCTACACTATTCCTTTTTTATTCTACAAGACTAACGAACTCCCAGTCCAATCCAAAATACATATTGAATTACCCTTTAATACACCCTATCGACGAATAAATGTTATCATCCATTATATATATACGGCTCCCATGATAAAAATACACGATAGTCCTAGAACTCTTAGTGTACCTGGAAATCTGGTGAATATTTTCGCAGGACTTAATTCTGTTCAGTTCCTCTTCTTTTTCTCACCACACATTTAAGTGCCAAATTCCCGAAGAATATAACTGAGAATGAATCAAGAGAGCACGAGCATGAATCCCAAGTTATAGAAAAAAAATTATTTGGCACTTAATAAACACTGGTAGTTCTATAAGCTTTTCGTAAATAGATCCATTATATGCAATAGCGAAATAATCAATTTAATTTTGAATTACTTCGTAGTATTACAAATAATAGTAATAAGAACTATTTGGACATACCTGAAATGATAAAAACATTGTCAGCAGACAAAAAGTGAAAATAAAGAAGACAAGAATAAAAAGGCTGACTACACTGTCTACCCATGAGTCCAAGTAACGACAAAGCTAAAATAAATTAAAAACCAGAAATTCTTTAATTTCATAGAAATAATATCAATTTAACCGTTCAATATGCAAAACCAAGAGACGTAAAACAAATTGACATATTTTATAAGCCCTGAGGTCATTGCCAAAATAATTTGAAGTAAAGCACTCAAGTTAGTAACTTATATAGACAATATAGTAATGGCATTATTTAATAACCCCATATAACTTTCTAAACTCAGCATCAAGCCACACTTTCATTATGAGGGTTAATGGTACTACCTTGCTGCCCAAACTGAAGTACATGGAGCGAGATTCGACAGCTCCAACTATTATTCCACTACCCATAAACTAGAAAACAAGCTTGAATGCAACTACTGGATATACAAGATAACAACTAATTGAATTTCTAGCCTATCAAGTTAACTTTAGTTTCAAGTGATACATAAAACACAAAGCAGTAGTTTCTATATTGTTCCCGCTTAATTAATTCCATTAACTTATTTAATGTGATCTGAAACTAAGAGTTCATTCCACATTAAAGTTTAAAGGAAAGCGTAATAAAAAACTGTACATGAGTTGTGCGGATCCACTTGAACAATGTTTTTTTTAAAATATAGTTACTAAATTGAAAAATATTTAACAGAAAACCTAACCACTAATGCAAGACTTACAAACCATGATGGAACTATCAGTTTATCACTTCACTAACAGGTGCATTTTACATGTTCTTAACTTGTAACAAAAAAATGTTAGTTAAAAACAGTAAATTATTCAGTGATACTGTAGTGAACAGAACACGGGTGGGGACAACCGAATTATATTTAGCACAAAATTACAGTTACTTGGTAAAATAGAAAAACCATACTACAATACTTAATTTGCAAAATGTTCAATAATTGTCTCGAACTTCATTGTTCTTGCATTTCCATACTAATTACTTTCTATTCCCGCTCTTCCTTTCTTGATCTTCCTGATCTTCTGCTGCCAGACATTACATTCCTGACTCGCATCATATACTAATTATATCAATATAAGTATACGCACCACAATACTACTCTTTATCTGTTACCTTTACATTGTTAGCAAAAATGAGTTATTATTATTATTATTAAGCATTTTAGCTACACAGAGTGAGGAATATCAGATGAAAAGTGAGGGTGCATTCACTATTCATCTTCTCGATCCAGTCCAGTATTTCTTCACACATACCTTCCCATTCTGCCTCTTTGAACTATATCCCTTTTGTTTAACCTTTCTTGTCATTATTGCTACCATATGATTTCGATCATTTTTGCCAATCTTGTCAGTTTTATCTTCTCATGATAACAGTGGTAATTGCAACTTCGGTCAACGCACATTTCCAGGTTCTTAGTCGATGATGACTTATTTCATGCAATTCAATTAATATGAATGACAACTATTACTACCATCTTATGATCATCGAATATGGTTTTTTTACAGATTACTTCATGAATTTATTTAGGAAGAATTTGTGCAACATGCCTTAACAGTTTACACTATATACAGAAATATCTAAAAGTTATGAAAACATAAATGTTTTTAATGGTTTCAAAATGCATTTCTAACATATTGGAGTACGAGTATTACTTTTATCTTTATAAGATTTATTATTGAACCTTCGGTTATAGCTTCACTTAAAATCTACTTAATTGATAAAGCAAACAAAAATGACATTTTGAGATGTAACGTATATTTATTACTACATTTTTCTCAAGTATAACTTTTAGTGACATATAACTGACAAAAATGTCCTACGGTCGATCTATTAAAGTAGATTTTTATGGAATAGCAGTTATATACACTAGGTAGTGTCAGCATATCTTCAAAATGTCTATGGTACTCCAAATCAATAGTTCGGATTGTTAGGCGAATGGCTCAAAGCAAATATAACTACTTCAATCCGAGAAAAAATATCCTAATTTAATTTGATGGCTGATTACGTGATATTACGTTATTTTACTATTCTTGAAGTTTGATGTCAAGAAGTAAGAACTTGAATAAATAAAATTATAGGTAGAAACAAAAGTTAATACATAGTCTCTATAACCAGTAATATCTCAAATTAGGCAACTTACTTTTCTATCGCAATATCCCAATAATGTAAGCAATCCGTGCACAGGCCTAGGGACGACCGACTTTAAATAAGCTTTTCTTTGTTCCATAGTCAAATTCGGAGTAATGGTCTGTAATAGACTGTTCAGTTTATAAAGAACCCAATGTGATAGTTCTTGTAATTTTAAACAAAGTGATAGACGAAAAATCCCAAAGAAAATTAAGATAAAACAAATCAAATATAATGGCCATTGATAAAGCCAAATAGCGACGAGAAAATGAGCCCATAATAATGCAAGAAAACAGCGATTGACAAATGAACTGTCAGGATAACAAGTATCGTTTGTACAAGCTGCGTCAAAAATGTTTCCCGATCTAGGAAGTGAACTACCTCTCGCACGAAACCTGTAGAAAAAAATTTTAAATAGGCATTTTAATTAACCTATTATTTTTCAAAATAACGAAGATTGTGGAAGAAAACGATCTAGATATGAGTGGCAGAAATATTACTTGTAGGTTTAGATAAGGATAATTACCAAATCTACATAGCCTTCAAGGCTTACTCAGTTTTCTTCTAAAAATACTTGCCAGCTTTAGTGGCTGCATTGTCATTCTGATGTACTAAACGCAGCACAACTGTGTACAAGCTCAGACATAACCAAACTTCTATTATGACACGATTATAGTTTAATCTCATGCAAAAATATAGAGTCCATTGTTTTGAAGTGTGCTTCAACGAATGAAAATCTCACTTTAAACAACAGAGGATCAGAAATATGACTGGAAATAGACGTTTTATCTCAAACAAATGATTCAAACACTTGAAAACAGGTTATAGACGAATTACAGAGATGGCTGATTGTGACCTGTTCTATTTAACGGTTTCATTATGCATACAATAAAATGTCCGTTAAGGCTATTTAAATTTGGCAGGAAAGAAATTTTTCGGGATAGAAATAAACAATAAGATTATCCGCGAATATGAAATAAGATTAAACTAGTGAAATAGTTGTTGGTCTTCTTAACTTAATAATTCCTAAACTCTCAACTTAGCACATAAATAATGACTAAAGCGTAGTCATGAGTTGTTGAATTACGTTAGTAATCAAATTCAATCTAGTCATCTAGGATACGTAAAACTATGACTTATTCATGCGCTTACCCTTTTCCTTCCAATATTGCACTCCATGATTTTGCGGAAGATAAACACAACTGTTCAGACATGAAAGCTCGGAGCTCACTAACTGGATCAAATCCATAGGACGATCCTGTCTGTACTGGAAGGAAAGCTTGCCTGAAATAAATAAATACATGAGTAAAATGAATACATGTAAAGTTAAGTAAAAACAAAACACTTAGTTTAAGTCAAAAATTATACGACGTTGACATTGTTTTGGTAAAATACAACTGCTATGGTATTTTAAAAAATGTATGCAATTATAATGACCTGTCACTACATGAATAATGATGAAATTCTATTAGTTAGAAATCCTATGTCATTATTATGCTCGATGAATACGACACTGAAATTTTACTTAACGTTAGATATGTGACCGAGGACTTGTGGAACCACATTTAGTGTTACCTGGTTCACTTTTAAAATATCCTTATGATAAGAACATACGTCGTCCAGAACATCTACCAGAGGATTCCATACTCACTAGTGATAATGAGTAACGTTTTATCGGGCGTTTACTTAAATATCCCTTCAAAAAATCCATCATTTTTGATATTTGAAAACGAATACATACTAAGCACTCCGTTTCTGGCTACACAGATTCACTGCATACTAATAAACACTAAACGGTATGTAGCCTGATCATCGAAAATGATCAACGGTACAATACAAAATGACAAATATGTGATTTAGTTACTAAATACATGCAGCCAAAAATGCTACTTGACCGTTTCTAATTTTACACAGTAGAATTTAAGTTGATGACCAGATACTATCAAATTCCGAAATCACTGCTTCTAAGCATTACACAAATGTATGATTTGACTCCACAAGATAAGCAGATTAGTGATGAACGCTGTTGAAGAACAGTTAAAATAGGTATGAAATATTAAAACGCAGTGAAAGATCTTTACAGGTTGACATTTAAGTAAGAGAAAGAGTATTTGGGTTTATGACGTGTAACCAAGTATAAGGTGTATCAGATATTTTATAGTCAACTGATGAATACAGCTCCTTTAAGTCTGTGGTTGACTGCAAATCATAGACATTCAGTGAATCCAGCTTGGTGACCCAGGAACATAACTATTGAATCATAGCTTTAGACTAGTATGACTTAATTCGATATAACAAAATACTTTTATCCTATGACAGATAACAAAAGATAAATGAATTATAGCATAACGAGAGTCATATCTGTACAGTTTATTACTCTTTTTTGACTGACAAAGATAGATATCATTGTCTAACTGGCATTAATATCCTTACATTAGTTGCTAAAATGGGGACCGTAATACTTGGAACTACTTCCTGAGTTCATCTGACTTAGTGAAAAACTAACCTCAGAAACTGCGACCATCTTAGAGGAAGACCAGTTTGACGCTGTTGTTCTTCCTTTTTTGTCTGACTTTGGTGTATTTGAGTAGAACCCTCGAAAGGCTTACTGAATTCCGTACTAACTTCTGCCAGTGTGTCACAGGAAACTGCACTCCTAATTAACTCGGGAGATCCCCCATCTAAAGCAGTAACAGTATGGCAAGAAGCCCACCGTTCTGCAAACAACAAAAGTTAAAAATTAGTAAACAATCCCAAATAACAAGTTGACTAGCGAAATTTCATGTTAACAAAGTCTTGGGAAGTAATATAACGTCAACATATCATAAGAACATGTTTCTACTATGCTTATATACCCAGTAGATTTACTGAACATATTCAGCTACTTGGAGACTTGAAAAAAGACAGATTTATTAACAAGCCAGTGTGCTGAATACAGCAATCTATATCCAGCATTACAATTATTAAATTATTCGTGCGCTCACAGTCTGCTTTCGCTTACACGCTGGTTCAATCGTAACTACCATGATGTTTTTGATAGTTCTGAGGTAACTTTTTGAACTAACTACAGTAATTTGCATTATAATAATCCCACTATTTGTTACCAACCTGTTTACAGTAACCAATGCCCTTAAATGTCATAGTACAGCCGAGGGTGGGGAGAGTCCGCTCTCGAAATACTCACACATGGTCAAACGTATACATACACCGTCAGGGAAGTCCTAATCACTGCCTCGTGGAGGGGTTGTTGCTTACGAAAATGAGAACGAAAAGCGAATTTCCGGCCCTTTAACTGAGTTGGTAAGTACGGAGGATCCACCCAGAGAAGTTAGGAGACCCTGATTCCAAACCAAGGGTGCACATGGGCTCCGTGATCCTGAGGGACCAAAAAACGTACGAACCTATTGTTGGTAACAGGCTACTATGTGACATCTGACGTTGCTCCACTGGCTTGTGGACTAGACCTCGAGGTGAAGGGCTTGGGGAGTGGCCTCCAAATAAAACCACCTGCCTCGGTTCGGGCGCCCGGGCAGTTTCCCAGCCCCCACATAAATCTAAAGATGAAGTGTGGGACATACATATTTAGTGCCCCTTTGTATCAGTATTGATGTGTTTAAGTAAATAAATAATAGACTTCCAAACCCAACAAGAAATAACAGCTGAAAACAAAATTGCAAAGATGAAAAGTACCACTGAACTAAACATAAGTGCAACTAAATCACATAACAAAGTCTAAAACAATAATCTAAAGGCTTACAGAAAAAATACAAGCTAATTTAATGTTATCCTGAATGTGGACGTAAATATCTGACCTTGACAACTGCCATCAGCTTCTTCAGTGAAACCCCAGTAGCCAACTATCAAGACTGCAACAGAAAATAAAAATACGGGTATCCTTAGAACCCCACCAAACGATGTACACCACAACAGCAATGAAAGCCAGAAAAAGTGTGACACACTGTACACGAAGTGGAAATTGGATGGTTTTAATAAAGCAATCATGCCGTAGATAATACCTAGAGTAATAACCTGTAAATCTAGAAAACTGAGTTAGACTTACCAATTTGAACGATGTAAACTCTAAGACGCAATCAACGAATGATATTAAGAAGTAAGAGATACTTATAGATAATCCAGGGAGCCAGAAAAAATCAAAGTAGGAAGAAATGTTGAAAGCGAGGAGAAGAAACAGAGATGTCTTAAGCAAACTCCAGTGATCAGACATTTTCTTGATTAAAATGGAATAGAGAGCATTAGAAACTCGGAACGGTACAACAACAGTCTCTACTAAAAGCAACTGATCTTCTGCATCAACACGCCTAACCCATCCACGAATAACATCAGTTAACGAATTTTTAAATGGATATAACACAGTCCCGCACAAAACGGCCCACAAAAGAGGTCTGACAAAAACCTGGAGCGTATAATAAACTGCCAGAATGGCAACGCATATTAAAGAAAGAATTATAAAAGCAGCAGCATTATAAAATGCTTGTCGGATGGCCTTAATTTGAGAGTGTGACAAGCGAAGGTACTGCTCGAAGCCGAAAGATGTAGCTACAAAAGATTCCATTAACTACTGGTAGACGTGATTTTCTTCACACTTCTCTAAGCACGAATGCCAGGATTTACCAGCGTTACCGAAATAAACGTTGTTCATTCGAACTACCGCCCATTCAGTAAGGTCACATATTTTCAAGGCTAAGCACTGTCTATGAAGCTGACAGTTTCACTATATTAAACACAATTTTTAGGTTACTGATGTCTGTTTCTACTTCGTTTATCCCTCTTATCTCTGAGGATCACTGTACGTCAGTTACAGACAACATATCTAGTATTACTGCAAAAAAGGTAAACAAACTATTCAATTTGAGTCACCATCATGGCTTTACGGAGCGTTTCCAAGCCTCTCGGAAGCTTGTAGCAAAAATGGCGTGCTTAAGAGGTTTCAGTGGCCACGGTGAGTTGGACAGCTACCCCAAAGATGTCACGTGCATTGAGTTTGATGACGATTTTATACTCAGCATCTGTGGTGCAAATTCTAGATATCAATGACTTAATTATACAGAATGAATTGTTGATCAAATACAATTCCAGAAAACGAATGAGTCTGTCCCAATTTCGGTTGTTGTTTCTAATACTAATGAGTACGTTCTAGATAATACAGAGTGCACATCCAACACAGTGTCGAATAGACATACAACTGAATACAGAAACCTAGACTTCAATTTAAGCTGTGGCGGATGTAGTGTTTGTATGAACTAATGATTTCTTTGTACTTGATGACTGTATGATTTCGGCATCCAGACACAATACGCCCGATTGTGCTCATATAGGTCTGCTTGGTCAAATTACTCTATTCCTTGGATTCCTAGTTTAAACTATGATTTAAATGGTCTTAATCATCATAGTTTTGTAAATGTATAATTGAGCAGGAACGATTTTCGTAGAATGAACACTTTCAGAAGAAAATGTATGCATATAAGCATATTAGCAACAAAAATAAAGTTTCTCGACACAATAAAACAATAAAACTGTGGAGGCGCGAATTTCAAAAAGGGCAGTGAATTTCGTACTTGTTGTGATTATACTTGCTTTTGGTACTTATTGCACTAAAAAGCATTCTTGTTCTACTTTAACTAAGAGTTCTTTGGTTAAAGTTTGAAATTTTTCGCTATATTTTGTCCTGAGTACCTGTTTTTAGTCCTTGACTAACTCTTGTGTTCACATTGTTATCATTTTTTGTTTTTAAACCTTTTAAATCGAATTACAATGGTTGGTAAGACTCACAAATGTGGGCAACCAAATTGTTTGTTCTCCGTTGAGGAGGGAATGCAGTGTGACGACTGTAAAAAGTGGTATCACAAAATGTGTACACGACTAAGTCCGACGGCTTACAAAAATGCTCGAAACCTAACTCGCATTGGCTTTGTATGTTCTGCTGTACGGATAAAAAGGTACTAATACAGGAGGCTATGGGCCTATTGGCTTTGGCCTGCAAGAAAAACGATGGCGGAAGCACTGATAACAAGAGCACTGACGGAGAAGAATGTGTCAGTGTAGTAAGTGCTGCTACTGGACCCACTAAACACCTGACTGCGGTTGACGGGAACGTGAAATCTCCGTTGATATTAACGAGAAATGAAGTGTCGCTTGATATTGACTTCGGCAGTCATACACCTCTAGTCGAAATAGAAGATCCGGATAAAACTGTCACCGTTCCACGTAGTTCAGGTGTGGCTGTTCTGAGTGGTGACAAATGGACTTTGGTAAGAAGAAAAAAAATAAGAAGGAAAAGGCTGTAGGCAAAACGCAGCTGGTCAGCAAGACATTGGAAGGGATGTTATCAGAAGAAAAATCCTCACCGCGTGAAAAGACAGATCTCTCTGAGAGATCAGTCATTTTTCATAAGATAAGAGAATCTTCAGATACTGAACCAAAGGCAAGATTTGAACGTGATCTCAATTATATTAAGACATCATTAAGTAAACTACTCCCAGATACAGTTTCAGGAGTTAGTATTTGTAAGCTTTATAGAATAGGAAAAAAGGTGGACTCCGAAAGTCCTCAGAAAAACCGCCTCCTAAAGGTTACATTCAACACGGTGGAAGAAAGGAACATGATTCTAAGTAATTCACGTAAACTGATTGGATCCGGAATATATGTCCGTGAGGACCTCAGCCTAGCTGATCGTATTAAGAGAAGAGCTGCAGAAGCGGAAATAAACGAGCGTCGCCGAAACGGTGAAAGAAACCTCGTTCTTAAGGGTTTTCAGATTGTAAAAGTTCGGAGCAAAACGATCATCAAGCCACTCTGGGTGGCAAGGGAAATCTCTCCACAGACTTAAAAGTGTGCTACACAAATGCTCGCAGCCTACTAAATAAAATGGCGGAGCTGAAGTCAGTGGTGGGTAAAGAAAAACCGGACGTTATCGCTGTCTCGGAAACTTGGTTAACGTCAGAAGTATTAGATAGTGAAATCCAATTGACTGGTTTCATAACCAGTAGGGCTAATAGATTAAACCGAAGGGGAGGCGGGGTTATTTGCCACACGAAAAGTACCCTAACCATAAGATTAGCTGAGACAGTAGCACATGTTTCAGGGACATGTGAACTGGTGAGATGTAAGTTGAAATGCCGAAGGCAAGATAATGAAGTAGTTGTGGTTTATCGCAGTCCAGAATGTGTAGCAGACGATTTTCTCCTAAGTAAACTTAAGTCCTGGTGTAACAACGGTAAAAGCCTTGTAGTAGGCGACTTTAATGCACCATATATAAACTGGGTTAACTTAGAAGTAGGGTCATCCATATCGTCGTTCGACTCCAAACTGTTAGAAACCTCGATTGGACTAGCATTATTCCAACACATTAGAGATCCCACAAGATACGACTTAGGAAACTCTTCTCTTTTAGATTTAGTCTTCACACACGGTGATGACGTTGGCCTAACGGCTTTTCTCCCACCACTTGGGAGAAGTGACCATGCAGTCATCTTATTCAAATTCATGGCTGAGATTGCTTGTCAAACAATTGCGCCGGCCCGTCCTAACATATGGAAGGCAGATATGCAGGCAATTAACTCCGCAGCACCGGCTGAGAACTGGGAAATTGACTCAAAGGCATCAGTACAAGAGGCATGGACTCTATTCAGGTAGTTATACAATCGGGTAACTCAACCATATATACCCTGGACTGTCCCAAAGAAAAAGAAGCACGGACATCCCTGGATAGGGCGGGATATTCGGCGCTTACTAAGACAAAAGAAGAAATGCTGGGATGTTGCCATCCGCCTTGGCACAGCAGGTACGATGGAACGCTACAGATCGATAAGAAACGAGTGTATAACTAAAATTCGGGAAGCTCAAAGAAAATATGAAATGCAGCTGACACAATCTGCACTCAAGCAGCCCAAGAGGATATTCTCGTACATAAACTACAGAATAAGGATTCATCATTGGATTCCCAACCTAATTAAAGTAGGAAGTGAATCTGAAATGATAGAGGAAGAACAGGAAAAAGCTGAGGTTATGGCTGACTACTTTGGGGCAGTTTTCACTCAGGAACCTCCTCTAGAGAAAGAACCAGACCCAATTACAGAGTCAACAAACCAGCTGCTCACCGTGGACTTCGACCAAAACGATGTGCTTAAGGCTCTTAGCACCCTAAACATGGAGAAGTCAACAAGACCAGATGAACTACACCCTAAAATCTTGAGACATATTGCCGAATATATCGCAGCCCCACTGACTCTGATATTCAAAATGTCACTTGACCAACGTGTGTTACCTATGGACTGGAAGGACGCAATCGTCACTCCCATACATAAAACAGGTCTACGACAAGTTCCATCAAATTACAGACCCGTAAGCCTCACCAGTGTTGTAATTAAAATACTGGAAAGAATAATCAAACGGACCATAACGGCATTTATGGAAACGAATAACTTGCTGAACATGGCACAACATGGTTTTAGAAAGGGTCTATCCTGTACAACGAACCTCCTTATAGCTAGGGAGCTCTGGATTAGTGCGCTAGACAACGGAAACTCAGTGGATGTTGTCTACATAGACTTCAGTAAGGCTTTTGACAAAGTGCCAACTAATAGATTGCTATTGAAGTTGGCAAACCTTGGTATTGCCGGACCTCTTTTAAAGTGGATTAAGGATTTCCTAGTAGGTCGTAGGCAAAAGGTAAGAATAAATTCCAAGTGCTCCATCTGGAGACCTGTACTTAGTGGAGTACCTCAAGGTTCCGTCCTAGGTCCTTTACTTTTTATAATGTACGTAAATGATCTTACAAGTATAGTACAGTCTCCAATGTTATTATACGCTGACGATGTAAAAATTTGGCGAGTAATAACTGGAGACAAAGACGCATTTACTCTTCAGGCGGACTTAAATAATATGATTAACTGGTCTAAAGAGTGGCTAATGCCTATCAACTCGGAAAAGTGTGTCTACATGCACTTGGGGGATTCAAAGGTTAATACGTACAACAAAAAGGATGTGTCATTACCCGTAGTCCGGTCTCAAAAGGACCTAGGGGTGACAGTGAGCAATGATCTTAAGACGACGGCCCATTGCCGGGAGGTCGCAGTTAAGGGGTTTCGAACCCTCTGGGCTTTAAAAAGAACATTCACTAAGCTTGATACTACCATGTTCACCACATTATACACATCCTTAGTGAGAACTAAGTTAGAGAACTGTGTTCAGGCTGCAAGCCCCTGTTTAAAAGGTGACTCAGACATGCTAGAAAAGGTACAGAGGGCAGCTACGCGTGCAATTCCGGAACTCCGGGGTTTATCATATAAAGAGCGGCTTGAAAAACTGAACCTCTTTACTCTGTCCTATCGCAGACTAAGGGGAGATCTAATCTTGATGTACAGAATACTGAGAAATGATTTCGGACCTAACTTATTCTCTCTCTTTCTTCCCACTAGATCGGGACACCTCAGAGGACATAGCAGGCGAGTAGAAAAGCCAAGAACGAACAAAATACCCGTGGCATACAGGTTTCCACACGGAGTCTGAATCTGAATCTGAATCTGAAAACAAATATTATGTGTAAGATCCATTTGTTGTTTTGTGTGTTGGTGTAAATCCCTCCATGTATATACTTGTACTTCGTTCCTATTGATCCCCTTAGTTGTACACTGTTGTCTTTTGATTACATTTGAATTGTTAATACTTGTATTTTTTA